AAAATGGGGCTTGAGGGGGCAATAGGCTATGGCATTCCCTGTAGCATGAAACAGCTGATCGTCTGGAGGCCCTGTTGAAACTGAAATTGAAAGTGAAACTTGCTGTTTGCAGGAAGGAGTTAAGTTGCATCCTTAGCACTGCAACTTAACAAATGTAACGGAGTGAGCTCCCGTTACTTGTCCCAGCTTCTGCCAACCTAGCAGTTCGAAAGCATATAAAATATGCAAGTAGAAAAATAGGGACCATCTTTGGTGGGAAGGTAACATCGCTCTGTGCACCTTTGGTGTTTAGTTATGCCGGCCACACAACCACAGAGACATCTTCAGACAGCACTGGCTCTTAAGCTTTGAAACAGAGATGAGCATCGCCCCCTAGAGCTGGAAACGACTAGCACGCATGTGCGGGGGAATCTTTACCTTTACCTTACATACAGTGTTTCTTTCTGGAATGTGATTACATGTGAGGATCATGCCTACATGATTAAATTGTTACTCTCTACAAGCAGCTATCCAGTTTTCAAGGTTATTTTAGTTACCAGACAGAAAACACGGTTTGCTGTTTCCTCATAGGTTTATATTGCATTCCTATTCTTCCCTTCCCAGTGTAACCTAATTGTTGTAACCTTGAATGAAAAATAGATGAAATAGCTTTTAATTCTACATGAGGAATTAGGCAGGTGCAAAGTAGATTACTGATAGTGGAGAAATGACAAGGCAAAGCAAGCAATTACATAAATGCAGACATTGTAATTAAAACTGGGGCATACAATTTAATCCAAGCAAGATGTTTGAGTCTACAGGATCCACGCTAAGCCTGGATAATATAATAACAAAGATAAAATTCTTTTTTGGCTTATGTGCAATCAGAAGCCTCAGAGTCTGATATGAGGATTAAATTCCTTCCTGGTAGGGAGACTGTATTGGAGAGCAGCTTTTCCTCTTTTAAAATATCTCTGTTTTGATTCTACCTTGGTTTGGCTATATAGCTAAGATAGTGATTCATTTGTAAAATTTGAAACATGTGCTATTTGCCAATAATAAACAGATGGAGTCAATTTTTGCAAGCATAGTGAGCAATTAACAATGCAGCCTACATGTGTTCATTCAGAAGTCAAGTATGTCTTAACACTACATAAGTGCGTATAAGATTGCAGCCTGAGATACCATTTTTTTTTCAATGTACAAATAGATTCTCAACTTACAAGCATAAGTGAGTTGGAAGTTGTGTGTGACCAGACCCAATTTTACAATCCTTTTGCAGAGGTTGTTCAGGAAACCCAATGATTGCTATAGGATGATTTTGCTGGAATTTGGAAGTAAATGCTGATTTTGGGAGAAACCATCATAAATCATGGTCATGTGACTGTGGGGTGCTACAAACTGCTGGACTAAAATGTAGACATGTGATCATGGGAGGAGGGGTGGACCTCAGAACTTAAAATTCGGGGAGTAAGTATCTCTTTTGGGTCTGTTGTAACTTTGAATGGCTGCTAAGCAATCAATTGTATGTTGAGAACTACCTATGTACATCTACTGAATTCATGGCTTCCTATTCCAACGGCAAACATACCCTTGAAACAAACACATGATATCAGTGAACTGTTTAGAAGAGTTATGCTACTAGAAACCACTGAACTGGAGATATTTCTCCCAACCATGGAGACCTCCCCTTTTAAAACCTATGTTTCCCCTGCGCTGCAATGAAGCTTCAAAATAGTTTCCTCGGATATCAAATAAGAGGCTAATTTAATATTTTTTTAGTCTTTTGTGTCGCCAAGCCTACAGGGAGAAATGGGCTGGGAGCACGGGTGGGTTTCTCGTCCCGTTCCAACCGGTTCGGTTGG